GGACAGACGAGGCTGTGGGGAGCAGAGAATGTCAGCAGGGTCACACAGTGGGGAAGTGGAAGAACGAGCATGGCAACTCAAGCCTCTTTCACTCAGGAATGTTGCGCTTAACTGTTGTATCACCAGGCCTTAGGTTCAAAAGCTAGGGTTTGTCTGCTCAGAGCTGACTGGCTCAAAGGAGGCCACATATAGTAGAAGATGGAGGGGCCTGTGTTCCTCGGATCACCACCTGACCTTGCACAGGACTGTTGGAGCGTTTTATGGCAAAGAGGCCTCTCCCTCCCTTGCCTGAGGAGGTGGAGTTGGGCTTGCTGTCCTGGTGCCAGGGCCTGTGGATGCTGCCCTTTCCCCAGGTCTGAGGAGAGGTGGGGGAGCCACCTGTGCCCTAGGCCTGAGGAACTTTGGGAGCCACTTCACTGCAAAGGGAAAAAATCTTAACTTCTCGGGGTCCTTTCACAGTGCTAATTCCAGCTGCATAGGACTACTCCCCATAGGTTTATTCCTCATAGCTTCATACATTTTTAAAAGTAAGACACTCGAAGAATGGAACAGGAGGGCCAACCAGATAACTCAGTAGACTAAAGCACCTGCTTAGGCAGAGGAGGGACTGAGGTTCAATCTCCAGGTCTGCCATGCTGGCCCTTCCCCCAGGGGTTCGCTGAGACAACGAATGAGACTGGGTGTGGTGGTGTGCACCTGTAATCCCAGCGCTTGGGAGGCTGAACACAGGAGGATCACTACGAGTCTGATCTGTGTGGTGAGACCCTGTAGACCCTGTCCTAAATACGTATAGATTTTTTTTTTAATTTTATAGTGGTTTTTTTTTTTTTTTTTTTACTGGGGTTTGAACTCAGGCCCTTGCTCTTGCCAGGCAAGCGCTTATTCTACTGAGCTATCTCCTTGTCCCCTTTTTTTTTTTAATTTTAAAAAGAATGAAACAGAAGGTGTAAGTTATGTAAATACGTGAGTGTTCATTTGTTTAAAATGCTGTCTTTATCAAGCTGTAGGCTGGCGCCATTACCTCTAGGTGTCAATTGTAGAAAGTTACCAAAGGGTCCTTATTGTCTGTGACCATGTTCCCTCGGGGCCCAAGCCTGCTGTTGGTAGGGAGCATGCTCGGGACGCCTGCTGGGTATTCGGTGGCTAAGGGCTGTGGTGTTAGCTCCCGAAGCTGGTTTCCGTGGGACTTCCCGCCCCAAGCGTGGACATCTCTGAGCATCAGTGGTCTTATTTTCTCAAATCCCACCTTGAAGTGTTCAGTTTGCCATTTCTGGGACGCATCATGCCTTCCTTGTTCTGTTGTATATAATAAGTACTCCCTTTATGCCCAGGAATATGTGAATACTTTCACGTTACATGTTATATATAATTATTAAGCCACTAACTATAGTTAGGTATTGGTTTTTAAAAATAAACAGGTCCTTTGGTTTTTAGAATTTGTCAAATAAGGATTAAATGTAATGGCTATGAAAATCTGTTAGTTGTAGAACCAGATGGGTTTTTATTCAAGTAATCTAGAATATCAACTGATTGAATACAAAAATGCTTTTAAAGCACACAAAATAATATTATTTTCAAAGTATATCTTGGTTATTTTGACTCCATAAAAAGAAATAACAAATCAGCTGAGCATGGTGACAGACACCTGTAATCCCAGCACTTGGGAGGCTGAGGCAGGAGGATTGTTGCGAGTTCGAGATCAGCCTGGGCTACAGAGTCAGGCTCAAGGTCAGCCAGAACTGCATAGTGAGACCCTGGCTCAAAAACACAAGCAAAGTCTATCCCGAGAAGTATCGGTCAGTTTTTCTCTGTGTCAAGCTCTGTCTCTCCCCCTCCCCTTCTTGCGTTCCTTTCTTCTTCACCTTCTCCTCCTCCCTCTCACCATCCCTGAGACCGGGAGTCCGGCCAGGCCTCTCCTCCTGGAAGCCCTTGTTCTCAGGCATTCTGTTATAGTAGAAAAATTATCACTAACAATTTGGGGTACGCTTGAGCCATAGCCCCAGCCAGAAGCACTCGACAGCAGTGCTGTCCTCCCCCTGTGACCCTCTTGGGATGGCAGTAGTGACTTACTTAAAGGCTCCGCCCTGACCTGCACCTCGCTATTACTGCTGGGTAAGCCGCTCCGAGGCTTGTAAGGATCCTGCTCTCCTCTGAGACCTTGCGGAGCATGGAGGGTGAAGCTGGGCCCGGTAGCCGCAGTGTCCTTGGAGACAGCCCCAGTCGCTGGCCAAGGAGCTCAGCACCTCTTCTGTGGCCTCGTCGTGGTTTGAGGGTGAAAGCCCCAGGTTGCTTCTCTTGGTTTTTTGGTCAGCAGTGCTAGGGAGACTCATGGTGGTTCCGGTGTGCCCCTCCTAGCGCGGGCGCCCCGTAGACCCGCCCACCTTGCACTTGGAGGATGAGGGAAACCGTGGGCGGCCTCTGCACACCCCCAGCCTTTGCTGTCCGCTTGTCCTTCCTGACGGCCTGCTGGGCCAACATGACGCACTTGTTTCGCAGCACGCACCCGCCTTCCTCTTCCTCGTGGCTGAGTGTGAGGGTGGAGGACAGCCAGCGCCGGAGGTGGGCCTTTCCACGCGGTGCACTGTCACTCTGTGTAGGGGACACAGGCAAGCAGCTTGCAGGAATCTGGATGTAAGGAAGGGGCTTCCACATTAAAACTGCGTTAGATAGAATTGCATGTCCGTAACTCAGGAGACACAAGATGTGCATCTCTCTGCTGCGCACCAGTTCTGTGACGTTCGCAGTTGGTGGAGTGTTTTCTCCAGCCTCCCCCCTGACCATGGCCATGGCCCTGTGGGCTGTGTGGCCTCATCACCTGTCACTGAGGGACGAGGCAGTTGGCCTCTGGATGGACTCACTGCTCCTGACCACGCCCTCTGTCCTAAGAGGCCATACGCTGCAGTCATGCTGCAGTGCCACCCTGAAGGCAGGGCAAATGCTGGTGGTCCCTCGCTGTAAATGTGTCCCTCCTTGTAATAGGAAGTAGGGACGCCCTCGTGAAGGGAGCGCCAGAAAACAGCTTTGTCTGGAGCTTTAGTTCTTCGCACCTGCCGTCTGTGTCCCCCGAGAGCATTCACATTGTCCTGGCACCTTTGGTTTCTGTTTGTGATGCAGTGTCTTTCCAGGTGTCCTTTCTGAGTAATTTCCATGTGATACAGATGTTGCTAGATCCTTCTTGGGAGATTGGTCTCTGGACCAGATTGCCTGTCTCCACTGCCTTGAAAGACTGAGAATAGTGGTCTGACCATGAATTATTCTGATAATAACTGTGTGCTACTTGCATAACAATATGTGGATTATAGGCGGAGGGTGCTGTGGGTGAAAAGCTGCCGAGTGACCTGCCCGGTGTGGCCGAGAGCTCAGCGCTCTGCACAGCAAAGGCTTCGGTGGCCACAGAGCTGAGCATGTGGCTGAGAGAGAAAGCCCCACGGTCTGCGTCAGAGGCCGCTTCCTAGGCGCAGGAGTGCTGAGATTCCGCTGCCTGCCACGAGACTGAGTATAGGGTTGGTGAAGTAAACCTCCAAGTTGCTTCCTTTGAAGAGAAGGCTAGTTCCTCTCAGGTGAGAGAAGGCCCGTGGTGGAGGAGAAAGCGGTTGGTTGGGGAGAGAGAGGATTTCCAAAGCGGGAGAGGTTCTGGGTAGTGGGAGGTGTGGGACTGTGGGCAGCAGAGCTCCAGGGGGGATATGTGGCCTTCACTTTGTAAAGTTGGGGGCTTCCCCAGAATTTTGGATGTAAGTAGGATTTGTGTTTTATTTACTGTTCTGTGATCTGTGTTTCTCAATTTTGCCCTATATTATACAGACTTTCTGGGTACTCCGTGTATTTTTGATTCCTACTGCAGTTTCATAGCTTAAGTATTTCTCTTACTGACTTGTTTCTAGTCATTCCATATTACAAGTAATACAAATGAAATATTTTTACAAAGAACTCTTTTCTTTTAGTCCTGATTTCGAAAACTAGAATTACTGGCTTATCATCTGGTTAGTCTTCTTCATCTGGCCAAGTTATTCTTTGAAGAGATTATGTCAATTTATGTTGTCACCAGCCCCACCAGGCAAGGGCTTTTGTGGTCATGTAAACTTTGTTCCTCACATGAGGCGTCACTAGATGGCCATTTTTTCTCTACGTAACATCTCTGTGGTACTTGTATTTTTTCTGACAGGAGCTCTGTTCACTGCGGTGGCACATTTGTGGCATAGAAAGTATTTACCATCTTGCCTCATTTGGTTGTAAACTGTCAAATATTTTTCTAATTAGCTGAATTGTTTTATTCTTATTAACTCTTAACCAATAGAAATATACTGGCATATGTGAAGTGTTTTGCAAACCTACAGCGTGTCTTACTACAAGGTGGTAGGAGAACCGTCATTGTCTTTTCACTGGAGTCGTGCACAGCCTTTGTCAGGTCTGACCTCTCACAGGAGATGGCAGGGATGGCCCTGGGATGGGTCAGATCTGGAAGCAAGCTTGTGGGGAGCGGAAGGCCCCGGCTGTCACCTGAGGCATGGTGGAGATGCTGGGACACCAGGAAAACAGCAGTCCAGGGTGAAGTTGTTACATTACATCAGGCAGTGGGCTGGAGCCTAAAGCAAGGCGAATGCGGGATGGAAAGAGGCTTTTGTGGTCGACCTGGTGTTCACCAGCACCTAGCCCTCCCCTGAAGGAACAGGGTGACTGGAAGAAGCGAGGGGCAAGGGTGAGTCCCAGGCAACCCTGCCTCTGAGTGCCGCATCTAAGATCCATGTGCATTGCTGAGGGGACATGGACCTGGTGAATGGGACTCGGCTCTGGTCTTTCCCTGTTTGTATTTTGAAAGTAAAGTAGTTACACGGCTGAATGCTCTGTGCGTGCGCATGCGTGTAAGGCACCACTGCAGACATTTGCCTGAAGAAATTCCTTTTGTGTATTCAGACCCGGGAATCAAAATAGTTTATATATTTTAATCTTCTAATATGTAGGTTCCAATTTAAGTATAATTCACTGAAATATTTTCCTTCTAGTCTTCAGAGAATACAGAGGGCAAAGATGGATCCAAAGTAACTAAACAGGAAGTAAGTATATTTGTTCTTTAATATTTTCTAATTCTTTAAGTTGACATGTTTAATATCGTTGTGATTGTCTGCACCTGAGTGGCGACTGTGACAGCGACTCACTTTGCCCAGGTGTGCTGCAGGGGGTGCACTGGTGAAGTGTTTTTAGTCACTGTGTTTATATTCTACCCGTTGGTCCTGCTGTCTGTCAGAGTAGATGCTGAGAATTCCTTCTGAGCAAAAAACCAAGACAATAGGTGTATGTATCAAGGAAAACAAAGTCTGCCTTCCGTAGCAACAAAATGCGCTGTGTTGTTGGTTTCATAAATTTTCTGCTCCAGTGAGTGAATTGGAGCAGAAGCAGTAAGTTGTTTCTTAGATTCCAAATCAGCTCGGGAAGGATTCACAATATGTCAAAATATTAAGGTTTTATTGTTAATTAGGACAATTCTTGGGATATTGGGATACTAATTAAGCAACAATTTATTGATGCTTATATTAAAATACAGAAACCTTCAAAAGTCTTAGAACTTGGAAGAGTTACTCTGAAGGTCTAAAAGGAGATGCTCTTGAAAAGTGGGAAATTATATGTGCCTGGATGACAAGACCATGCTTGAAAAGCAGCTCTTACCCTTAAACTTACAAATTAAAAGAGATCGAGAGACAGACCAAAAAACAACAACTCCAGTTACAGTTCTCTGACTGGGTGATGCGTACTGCAGTTACTACTTCAGAGCAGCTTGTTGTACCAAAACCTGCACACAAGTTGTGTACAAGGAAGTTCCGTCTCACAAATGAAAAATCCTTAATAGAAACTGAAATGAAGTCTTTCAAAAGCTGAACGAACAAAACTGCCCATCCCTGCCGTTTAGGCACGTGGCAGCCATTGTCTCACAGGCTTGGGGTGGCCATGGAATCTGTAGGCCAAGGGCAAGCCACCATGCAGTGAGAGAAACAGACAAACAGAAGGAGAACCGACACAAGGTGATCTGGGCTTGAATTTCCTTGGAAAGTGCAAGATACTGCTTTTGGGACAGTTGGCTAGATGGAACTGACTTTAAATGTTTTCGGGTTCGGCTACCAAAAGAAACATTTAGGTTGAACTTTGAGCAGTGGACACCTTCAAGGCCTTGCATGCAACAGACAATTGAGAGTAGGCAGTCCTCCCGAGGGCAAATAAGACGGCCAGAATAGGTAAAAGATGCAGGCAAAGTTTATTCTATACCTGTTTTATGTGTATGATTTAGGACTTTTATTACTATTTGTTTTATTTTATATTGCTTACATATGATTTATGTATATATTATTGACAAAAGTCTTTTCTAGACAAAACTCTACATGTCATTTAAACCAGATTAAAACTCACAGTAAGTCTTTAGGACATCAGGAGAGTTGTTTGAAGAGTGAAAAGTTAGCGGGTGGCCTTCTGTAAAGATTGTTAGAGAGTACATTCATTGATTGACTGATTCATTCATTTTCATAATTTAATTCAGACTGAATTTGCCAGTTTATCATGAGAATGCAGGGTCATGACCATGGTGAACAGATTGCAGTCATAAGGGGTCCTCTTGAAAACTCATCACCAGTGCCTTCGTATTTAAAGGACACTGAGCGAGTACAGTACTTTCAGAGACTTGGACAGTAACTCTCAGGAGCCTGCAAAGCCCTTTCACGAAATCCATTCTTTTGCCATTTTTCTCCCTCTTCCCCGCCCTTCTTCTTGCTTCCTTCTTTCTTCTTTCTTCCTTCTTCTTTTTCTTCTTCTTAGTCTTGCCAACCAGCCTGAGTCTTAAATGATTGCTTTAAATCCTAGTGGTTCAAAGAGGGAACAGAACAGTGTGGTCTGCTTCATGTCGGATAAATGCAGTGCAACCACTGATAGACTCGAAGGCTGTGGAGGCTGATGGCGCTTTCCAGGAAGGCGCTGCACTTAGGAGCATAATCAGGACTGCTAGAGAGGGAATGGTCAACGTCAGTCTTCACGCCTGCATGGAAGCAGGTCTCTCCTGGCGCTCCCTGGAAGGAATATGGTAGGAAAAGGCTTTATGGCATGAGAACAGAAGTGATCATTTTTATGGAGGAAGTCATAAAATGACTTTACAGTAAAAGGTTTGATGTTTAGAGACTGGTTACTTTGCACGACCTGTAGGGGGAGAAGGCAAACTTTGTTTTTATATTAATTTCCCCTGCTTTTTGTTTGAGATCTCTTGTGGTGATGTGAATTAAGTCCTTTGGCTCAAACAGCTTTCAGGCAGGGCCGAGAAGGGCTTTGGGTGGGATGTCTCTGGAGCCCCGAAGAGTGTGCTGACGTCACTTGCCTATCTATGTGTCTGCTCAGTTGTCAGAGGGAGAGGGTGAGCAAGGCTTAGGGGCCTTTGCCTGTGGTGTGCAGTAGGGTGCGCGCAAGGGTTGAGGCAGTGAAAGGACACAGAGCCTGCCCGGCTCACCCCGTGGACCACTGGCAGGAGGCGTCTGGGAGCCTCCAGAGCTCCTCTTTATGAATGCATGTTTGCCACACATGATGCTTACATTGCTCAGGGTGTAACCTGGGCTGCCGCCCTCCCCTTAAGGGCCCGGTCCTGCCTGCTGCCCCTGCGAAATGTACATGTGGACCTCGAGCTGCAGGGAAACTTCAAGGCCGGCTCCAGTTGTCGGGCAGTCGCTGGGGCCCTGGTGCTCTTGTGCGCGGGCAGTAACTGGGGTCCTGGTGCTCTTGTGCGCGTTGAACCAGCACAGGATTCCCGCCCGTGCGGTTTAAGGGACAGCGCTGCCATTTCTTCAGGTGCGTGCAGAGCTGCCCTGGAAAGTCCTTCTAGGGTTTCAGTCGATGGGGACTTGGGGGGTGCATCTTGCTCTGCTAGTGGGTGTCACGGTGTTCCATTGGAGCACCTGACGCCTGCCTGCCTCCTCTGCAGGTGCACAGGCCTTAGACCACGCTGGGTGCCAGATGGCCGGTGTCTTCCTGCTCTGGGCATAGGTGTCCCAGGGGACCACGTGTCCCATTCTCAGCATGCTGTGTCCAGCTCTGATCTGAGCTTGAGACCTCAAAGTTAAAGGTATTACTGAAGGTGTTATTTGCTGCTGTAGTTTAAAAGACAGAAGTTTAGGTTCTCTATTTTCAGCAAGAAAATTCTTAGATGCAGAGGTGGGAAGAAATGTTCCTGGTAGTTTGGCCTGACCAATGACCTAAGCACGATGTCGGGAAGTTTCGCAATTCCTCTCAGCCAGGAGGCATTTGAAGCCCTTAAGCCGCTGTCAGGAGGTGCAGTCTGCAGAGGCGGTAGGCCTTACACAAAGCTTGCGTTCATGTATCCAGCAGGTAGCGGTGCGTGTGTACCTTGTGTTGGATGGGACCACGTGTACGTAGGAAGTTCTGGTGGGGATGCAGCAAGTAATAGGACAGGGAAATGTGTAGGATACGTCTTTCTGGAACATTTGTGAGTAAAGTAATTGTACTTTTGGGATGGGAGCCCCTTGGGCAGCCAGCCCTCCTTACGGTAAGGGAGTATCAGTTTTGGTTGCCCCTCCTAAGGTGCCGACAACATTGCTCTGTTTTCGTTATAGTCTGCTATTGACTTGTACCATCCTTGAGGAAAATATTTCTGGAGAATATCAGCCTTTGCATTTAATATAGCTATCCAGTCTCTGTAGTTTCTCTCAGTTTTCTAAGCTTTTGACACTGAAAGAAAAGATTAATGAACGTTTTACTTTAGTGAAATCTTTAAATATGTGTTTAGTAGAGCAGTTTATTTTGTTACAGGTAAAAAGATGTCTTGTTAACTGCATACAATTTTTATTCTATTCCAAAGTAGCAGAAACACAGAGCTTTATTTTGATTTCTATGTGTATGTTTCTTCTATTAACTTATAAAAGACCAGTTTTTAATGAGTCAGACTGGAACTCATTTTTAAAATAACTTCAGTGTTCCCCCAGTCAGCATTTTATCACAGAAGAAACTGGTTTGGGGCAGCCCGAAGTTTATCTTCCCTTCTTTTGCTCTGCCACCACACCTTAGCTGGAGGAGGCCACTTACTGCAGCAGCTCATGCTGCTTTAAAACCACTTTCTGGCTGAGCATAGTGGCAGCCCTGTGACTGCAGCTGCTCGGAGGCCGAGGCAGAGGGTTGGCACGCTCTAGGCCAACCTCATCTACTTTGTGAGACCCTGTCAGGAAGTTTATAAAGAGGCGAGGCGGAATAGGGACGTAGCAAGGTCCTGGGTTCAATTCCTAGTCTTGAAAGAAAGCAGACCACCTGAGCCTAGGGGACTTGGGATGTGCTTCACTGTGAAGGGTGCCAGGGTCATGCGTGGCACTCTTTCAGCAGTGCCAGGTATGACTAGGGTGAATTTGTAAGGGCAGCTCAGCCGTGTATAATTACATGAACACATTCTTCTTCATTCCTTTTGCAGCCCCTGAGACGCTCTGCCAGATTGTCCACGGTGAGTGCCAGAGCTGTTTGTGTGTCTTTGAGTGCGTGTTCCCTTTGTCCAGCAAAGCAGCAAAAGCAAGATGAAGTTGGCCTGGAGTTTACTTTCCCTTTGGAAATCTCCCAGGTCACAGTTCCTAGCGAATCTGACCCATGTTGCCGGGCAGTTCGCTTGGTCAGCTGTGTCAGTGAAAACAGCAGCTGGCCCCACTGCCAAGAATACGAGGCCCGCGGTGCCATTTGCTGCACTTCGAAGCAAACAAGGTCTGAACAGCAAAGCCTTAGTCTTTGTACTCTGTATGTAATCGGCAGCAATGGGCAGACTGTTTTATTCTGTCTGCAAGTTTAATTTAGTGTCTTACGTCAGGGTGAAATGTTCCAAATGTTGTCTGAACCCATACACTTCAGCCTGATCTCAAACCTCCCTTGTCTTTGAAAAAATTCGTTTTACTTTGTCTCTGGGCATGTCCCTCTGTGGCCCATGTTCAAGGGAGAGATGAGAATTAGCATCAGAGCTGGGGTGGGTGGGTGTAGCCATGCCCCAGCGGCAGCCTTGCTCCAGCCCTCCTCAGCAGCCTTGTGTGCACTCCGAGCAGAGCGGCCTGGCTGGAGGAGGATTTGAGTGTAACTCGTGCAGCCCCAGCCACCCACCAAGAGGACAGAGAGGCCTTAGCGTCTCAGCTGACAGTGCATCTCCCTATAGTGGTGTGACACGAACCATGAGCATGGCCTTCATCCCCAGCCCACACATGGTGCTCAGAGTGCTACGAGGACCTTTCCCCAGTTCAGAGTTGGATGAGCTGGGAGGGTTAGGCTGAGCCTCCTGAGGAGCGCTGTTGGCGTCACCATGAAGATGCAGAGCTGGTGTCCTACAGCTGAGAGGGCTGGGCTGAGCCTCCTGAGGAGCGCTGTTGGCATCATCATGAAGACGCAGAGCTGGTGTCCTGAGGCTGGGAGGCTAGGCTAAGCCTCTTGAGGAGCGTTGTTGGTGTCACCATGAAGACTCAGAGCTGGTGTCCTGCAGCTGAGAAGGCTGGGCTGAGCCTCCTGAGGAGCACTGTTGGTATCACCATGAAGATGCAGAGCTGCTGTCCTGCAGCTGAGAGGGCTAGGCTGGGCTTCCTGAGGAGCGCTGTTGGTGTCACCATGAAGATGCAGAGCTGGTGTCCTGCAGCTGAGAGGGCTAGGCTGGGCCTCCTGAGGAGCGCTGTTGGT